AGACCTTTTGACAATTCCTTACATAAGGAACTATAAGTTTATGAAATATTTCTATCTTAGTGAACTTTGAGTAGTTCACAATTATTAAGAATTTTTTACAAGTGATTGGAAAATGTTCAAAACTCGATGGAAATGGTGACAGTCTTTTACAGTATAGTTAAATTCTCAAAAATGATTGAGATTTGCCATTTTTTCACAACTGTAATCTTTAAAACAATGGTTGTTATCCAACCCGATGTAAAAACTGTTTGAAATTGTTTCAAATGAACGTGGAGTGGCTCAAACCCGTTGCTTCTTTTCGAAAGAGTGACGTATCCAACCTTTTGACAAGACTGTATTATACTATACAACAAATTAAAATTTTTACATTCTTACTGAACTTTTCTTACTTCACAATTAGTAAGGAATTTTTTCAAGTAGATGGAAAATGTTCAAAACTCGATAGAAATGGTACCAGTCCTTTACAGTATACTTAAATTCTCAGAAATGATTGAGATCAGTCGATTTTTCACAACTGTAATCTTTAAAACAATGGTTGTCATCCAACCCGATGTAAAAACTTTTTGAAATTGTTTCAAATGAACGTGGAGTGGCTCAAACCCGTTGCTTCTTTTCAAAAGAATGAGTTATCCAACTTTTTGATGATACTGTATTATACTATACAACAAATTAAAATTTTTGCATTCTTACTGAACTTTGAATAGTTCAAAATTATTAAGGAATTTTTACAAGGGGATGGAAAATGTTCTAAACTGTATGTAGATGGTAACATTCCATTGGAGTATACTCAAATTCTTAATAATGATTGAGATCAGTCGATTTTTCACAAATGTTATCTTTAAAACAGTGGTTGTCGTCAAACCCGATGTAAAAACGACTTGAAATTGTTTCAAATGAACATGGTGTGGCTCAAACCCGTCGTAAAATTAAATTACACTTTCTCAAATGAGCTTGGTGTGGCTCAAACCCGGGGTGCTTATGTAAAGTTCAATCCAAGTAAATGGATACTTGATTCAATTCTTGTATGATGACAAGTCCCAACTACTTCACAATGAATCTTTCTCAGATTGTACCTATCACCAATAGGAATGTGTTCATGTTTCATACTTGTTTGATATTATACAAACTGAATGAGCTAGAGCGTATTCTATATATTGAAAAGTTACTTTTTTGACAGATTGTTATTATTATCAAGTTAATTTCTATTCAGAATATCTAAAATTAATACAATATGTACAATAGTGTGATTAGA